CACCGAGTCCGACTTCGGTAAACAAGAGTTCGACGTCGAAACCTCAACTCGATCGGAACCCTACACAACCATCGGGGTTCAATTCCAAGAATAGGTCTGGGTCGTCGAACCAAAATCAGAGGCCCAATAAGGTGGATTCAGGCCCAAATCAGACAAAAAAATCCCGTGGGCGAGATAACCATGCAACCACAACCCAGTTCAGACTTAAGCCTTCTTTCCGTAGGCTTACGCCGGCGGAGATGGCAAAGTGGAAGGCCGAGGGATTATGCTAAAATGTGATGAGAAGCATTTTTATGGTCATGTTTGTAAGCGTATGGAGTTAACGGTGCTGATTGTCGATGAGGATGGTTCTGAATTTGAATGCACTGAGGAACAAGTCGGTTTCATGGAGGAAGAAGGGGTAATTGAAGCGGGGGTCGCAGAATTGTCGGCCAACTCTGCCGTGGAGTTATCTTCTCCGAGAACAATGAAGGTTCGAGGGAGCATCAGTGATGAAACAGTGGTTGTGCTGATCGATAGTGGGGCCTCCCACAATTTCCTGTCGGAGAAGCTAGTTCAGAGATTGGGACTCGAAGCCACAAACACCTCTCGTTACGGAGTCCTGGTGGCTTATGGAGTGATGGTGAAAGGGAGAGGGGTGATAAATAACGTAGAATTGAAGCTGCAGGACTGCGTCATTGTCACCAACTTCTTACCTCTAGATTTGGCAATTGCGGATGTGATATTGAGGGTACAGTGGCTAGATACTCTTGGAGAGATGAAGGTGAACTGGAAACTACAGATTATGAAGATAAAATTGGGAGACCAAGAGCTTACGTTGAGAGGGGACATGAATCTTCATTACGCAGAGGTGTCTCTGAAAACACTAAAGAAGAGGTTGGAAAAGGATGGATAGGGAATTATGGTGGAGTATGGAGGATTGCAGACATCGAGTATAGTAGAAGAGATCAGAGTGGCGGAAACTTAGTGCCAAGAGCTCAGCCAGTCAGTGTCCGGCCTTTCAGATATCCTCAAGTACAGAAGAAGAGATAGAAAAGCAGGTGGCTACGATGTTTGGTGCTGGGATAATACATGAGAGCTGCAGCCCCTTCTCAAGTCCAGTACTTTTGGTGAAGAAAAAGGATGGTAGTTGGCGTTTCTGCATAGATTACAGGGCTCTCAATCGGGTAATTGTGTCAGACAATTTCCCTATCCCTATGATCGATCAATTGGTCGACGAGTTGCACGGAGCAAAGGTGTTCTCCAAATTTGACTTGAGGTATGGTTACCACCAGATATTGGTGCGTGCGGAGGACGTTCCCAAAACCGCCTTCCGTTCTTACGACGGGCACTACAAATTCTTGGTGATGCCGTTCAGATTGTCAAACGCTCCAGAAACCTTGCAGTCTTTGATGAATGAGGTGTTCAGACCCTTGCTGCGGTGATCAGTACTAGTGTTCCTTGACGACATATTAGTCTACAGCAAGACGGAGGAGCTACACCAACAACACTTAACGGAGGTTCTTGGTCTGTTACAGAGTCATCAACTACATGCAAATCACAAGAAATGTCATTTTGGATGTGAGAGGATTGAGTATTTAGGACATGTGATCTCTGCAGAAGGAGTGGCGGCATATGAAGAAAAGATACGAGCGATGGTTGATTGGAAAAGGCCTCGGAACGTAAAGGAGTTGCGTGGGTTCTTGGGCCTTACCGGTTACTATCGCAAGTTTGTACAAGGGTATGGACACATTTCTAGGCATTTGACTGTTCAGTTGAAGAAAGATCAGTTTTCCTGGAACGAGGAGGCAACAGTGGCGTTCGAGGCCTTTAAGAAAGCAATGTAGACAGTTCCTGTGTTAGCTATGCCTGATTTTGAAGCCTTGTTTGAAGTGGAATCAGATGCTTTGGCAGTAGGGCTTTGGGCTGTCCTAATGAAGAAAGGGAGACCCCTAGCCTTCTTCAGTGAGGCTCTGGCAGAAAGGCAGAAACTGAAATCGGTTTATGAAAGGGAGCTCATGGCAATTGTCTTTGCAATCCAGAAATGGCGACACTATTTAATAGGGAGGATGTTCTTGGTGAAGACTGATCAGAAAAGCTTGAAATTCTTACAGGAGCAGCGTGAGATCAATATGGAATATCAGAGATGGTTAACCAAGCTATTGTTGGGATTTGACTTCACGATTCAGTACCGGCCAGGCTTGGATAATAAAGCAGCAGACGCGCTCTCAAGGAAGAATGTGACCCCAGAGCTGGCTGCAATATCAGGGCCTACGTCTATTCAGCTGGAGGAGATCAGTGGGGAAGTGAATAAAGACCCAGACCTTCAGGTGATCATTAAGAAAATACAGAAAGATCCGGCGTCTCATCCCGATTACTCGTTGGTTCAGGGAAGGTGACTGCACAAGGGAAGGCTGGTTATCCCCCTGAATTCTCCTCTTATTGGTCTAATAATGCAAGAGTTGCACGAGTAAGACGGGAGAGAATGGTGGCATTTTGAAAACGCAGCATAGGGCTGGTGAACTGTTTTATTGGGCTGGAATGATGACCGATATCTGCAGATATGTAGCTTCTTGTCAAGTGTGTCAATGACAGAAGTACTGTACTCTGGCTCCTGGTGGCTTGTTGCAACCACTATCGATTCTTGAGAGAGTGTGGGAAGACATATCGATGGAATTTGTGGAGGGGTTACCCAAATCTGCTGGCTACAATGTCGTGATGGTGGTGGTTGATAGTCTGACGAAGTATAGTCATTATATAGCCATCAAACATTCGTTCAATGCAGTGGATACTGCAGTCATCTTCATCCAGGAGATTGTGAGACTACACGGTTTCCCTCGCACAATCATTTCTGACAGAGACAATGTGTTTACAAGCTTGTTCTGGCGGGAGCTCTTTCGCCTCTCTGGTACGAAACTGTGTTTCAGCACTGCCTATCATCCCCAAACCGATGGGCAGACAGAAGTAACAAACCGTGGTATGGAGACATATCTCAGGTGCTTTGCGAGTGACAAACCCAAAACATGGGCTAAGTATTTTCCCTGGGCTAAGTTCAGTTATAACTCTTCATTCCATTCTTCTTTTAAGATGATGCCTTTCCAAGGGTTGTATGGCAGAGAGCCACCGGTGTTGTTGAAATATGAGAAGGGGTCTACAACAAATGCCGAGTTGGAAGAGCAGTTAGTGGATCCGGATAAAATACTGAAGGGTCTCAAGGGGCACCTCACACGTGCTCAGCAGAGGATGAAAACTAAGGCTGATGAAAATAGAAGGGAGGTGGTCTTTAATGTGGGAGAGAAGGTCTTCCTGAAGCTGAGGCCTTACCACCAACAAACTCTGGCCAAGCGTGTAAATGAGAAGTTGGCTGCAAGGTTCTATGGTCCCTTTGAAGTAGAGGCGAAAGTGGGGGAGGTTGCTTATCGCCTGAAGCTACCACCTAATGCTAAAATCCACCACACCTTTCATGTACCATAGTTTAAGCCGGCTGTTGGTAATGCTGTAACTCCACACCGATTTCTACAGAGTTGACAGCAGAAGGGGTTCTAGAAGCTGAGCCAGAAGAGGTGTTACAGTCAAGAGTGAATGCAGAATCAGGACAGGAGAAGGTCTTGGTTAAATGGAGAGGGTTACCCATTTTAACTGTACTTGGGAAGATAAACTTAAGTTGCAGGAGAGGTTCACGGGCTTAAACCTTGAGGCCAATGTTGATTTGGAATGGGAGGGTATTGATACTTATGAGGCCTCACGTACACCTATCATTTACCAGTACGCAAGGAGAAAGGCTTCTCCTACCCAATAAGGCCTCTGTCCTATCAATCTGAGCCCAAGTGGGGTTGGTTCCATTTTGTGGCTGTCTCTAGGAGAATGTAATAAGCTGCTGATGTAAGGAGACAAGAGCATGTGCCCCAACGACTGACGTGGGATGTTGGAGGAGGGTCTTGAAGAATACGTTAAAGTAGCGAGTAGAGAGTAACGTTTTTTTATCATTTGGATGATCATTCATGTTATAGAGAGGGGTGTCTCTCTCAAGGTTCTTTTTTGTAAATATTTGGTCATTTAATACTAAATCATCTTGTCTTTATTCTTCACACGGTTACAAGTGAGGTATCAATCTGAGCCCAAGTTGGGTTGGTTCCATTTTGTGGCTGTATCAAGGAGAAAGTAATAAGCTGCTGACGCAAGGAGACAAGAGCATGTGCCCCGACGACTCACGTGGGATGTTGGAGGAGGGTCCTGAGGAGTACGTTAAAGTAGCGAGTAGAGAGTAACGTTTTATTTATCATTTGGATGATCATTCATGTTAGAGAGGAATATCTCTCGCAGGGTTCTTTTTTGTAACATTTGGTCATTCGATACTAAATCATCTTTTGTCTTTATTCTTTACACGGTTACAAAGTTTACAAAGATAACACGTAACATATGGCTGGCGAGTAGGAGAACTGTGCCTCCAACGATCTACCTCTCCAATTTGAAAACATATCAGAGACACATGAAGATACAACAGAAGCTTTGCAAAGAGAAAAGAGCCGTGTTAAAGCTAGTATATCAACGCGCACGTTTGTTCCAAGCGACAAAAGTCAGAGAATGTAACTTTTTGTAACGCCCCGACCGCCTAGGGCTAATGGGCCACCCACGGCTAATGGGCCCCCATCCCGTTCCAACGGTCAGTCCTTTAATTTTCCAAGGTTATAGAGTCATGTTTACTGACCCTACAATCACCTCCCGACCTTTCCCCGTGTTTTGGCCTCACTTACACGGTATCGCAAATTACTTCCCGATAGGTCACCCATCCTTAGACTACTCCAGTTCAAACACACTTAACTCTGGAGTTCTCTCTGGATGTGCTCCCGAAAAGGTAAGTGCACTTTGGTGACATAGGTAGCCAAACCAATTCTCTTAAGCCTTTTTCAAACACCACAAACCGGGATGTTACACTTTAATCCATACTCACCACTCCCCAGCCATAAAGTGTTTTGTGTTTCTTTTGCAGCTTCAGACAAGAAAAACAACATAATAATAAAGCCAAGACAAGATAATATTTACCTGTAAAATCATTGTATAACAGATTGTTTTTTCGATTCTGATAACATTCCGTAAATTATTAAGGGAAACAAAATGATAATAGGGATACGAAACACATAACAATTTTCTTTATTTTAACATCCATGCTTTCACCAAATCTTGGGTGCATCATCAAACTTTGATATTACAAGCTGGGAACAAGGCCAAGCAAAATAGACTTAGATCCTATCGATATCCTCGTCCTCAAACTCAACGTAGTCATCAGCCGCATTATCGTCATCTTCATCAACATCACCAACAATGCCTTCGTTAAGACGGGTATTCTCAGGAAGCTCACCATAGGCCTTGAGAAGCCTAGCCTCATCAGACATGTACTTGAGGATGACGTCAGCTTTGTCGTCTTGGTAGTCCCTCAGGCCAACAAGGACGATGTCACCTGCTGCAATCCAGACCTTCTTATGCATCTTACCACGGATATGACAGAGACGTTTGGTGCCGTCAATGCACATGGCTTCACATCGGCCATTTCCGAGCATGCGAAGGACTTGAGCGTACTCTTGGCCATCTTCCTTAAAGATAAGCTCACGCTTCTCGTCATCAGCTTCGTTCTTTCCTCTCTTCCTGTTCTTTCCTCCCTTTCCCTTATTCTTCGGCATTGTATCTGTGTCTTTTAAATTCAAATGTTAACAAAAGATAGAAAGAAGGTAAACTTATATAAAAACTATATCAGGATCCCTACCCAAGAATATTGAGTTGCGTGATATGTATAAAAGTTGGACGAATATATTCTTTTTAAGAGAATCAAAGAATATAATAGCAAAGGGGTAAAAGTAATTTCTTCAGTAAATAATAATAAAAAACTACGACTTCATGAAAACTACAGAGATATTAAATCAAAAGACACAGAATAAGGAATGATCGAAAATCCCTTGCGGGCAAAATCGGTTTCTAACAGTTGCGCGTTATGTTAAAGAGTCAATTTTAATGACGAGATTCCAAAATCAGAACAAATATTTCACGGTCAAACAATTCTTCGGGCAACGAGAAGCGATTGTCGAAATATGATCCTAATTAGATGCCCTAAATTAAGAGTTGAAAAGCAAAATCAAGAGCCTAAGGGACTATTAGAATCAAAGGAAAGGAAAGCTTACCGAACTATGGATGGATTGAACTTTAGCTAATTACGACAATCGTCGAAGTGGATCAACTTTCTCAAAGCTCTCTCTCTTTTATTGTTTATAGGAATTTGAGTTTCGTGTAGCTGCGTGTTGCTCTGGTTCTCACGAAATTGACGTTTTCTTTAATAGATCAGGGCATCTCCAACCCTATTCTATTTTTACTCTAAACTAAAATTTTAGAGTAAAAAGATTCTCCAATGATACTCTTTATCTCACTTAATAATAGAGTGGAAAATAGGTTTATTCCAAAATATAGTATAACTTGTTTTTTTTTTGTTCATCACTCTATTTTTTACTCTAAAATAGAGTACCATTAGAGTAAACTTTAACTCTATTTTAAAGTAAAAAAGTAGTGTAAACCATTGGAGATAATCTTAGCTACTCTTATAAATGTCTCTCGTTATTACAATTCTTATTTTCTCATAAAATCTGCTCAAAAAGCTCATTTTCCACTTAGTCCAAGGTTATTGGATAACCTAGTAAGTGAAAAATTAATCCAAAATATCTAAATTTTTCAATACATGTTTTAAAATATTTTTTTTACTTTCAGTTGAATATAATATTAGTATTCACTATTTTTATTTTAAAAACATAGGCTTCACTAATTAATATTTTCTAACTTTTATATAATTATTTTACATTTTCAATTTTTTGTTTTACCCTTATAATTAAAGAAAAATAAAATTACTTGGACGTAGGGTTGGGTTCGCGGTCAAGCCGCTCCGGTTGATCCTATATATCAACTTCTTTCTTACACAAAAAACTGCCTTGCATAACCCACGAAGAAAATTGTATAGCCGCCCCGTTGAGATTTGCGGGTAATCCGCCAGACCCGTAGATAATATTAATTTTTTTTATTATTATTTTTATTATATATTAATTATTTTGTAATATAAATTAACTATTATAACTGAAATATATTTTAAAAATGTTTTATATATTTTTACGAATTATTGAGTTATTTTACAATTATCTTTATTTTTATTTAATTTACTATGAGGAATCTGCGTCAATTTCATGTTACGTTTGCTACGGGCTGCATCCAGGTGGTGAAGATAGTTTCTGCACTAGAGGAATGGTCAGCATTTGCAAATTATTTGGACGATATAGCGCTCCTCCGAGAAAGCTTTACTCATTCAGAGATAATTCATATCCCAAGAACGCTTAATACCAAGGCTGACAAACTAGCACGTAGTGCTCGGAAACAACCGTCCTATACTGTTCATATGGATGATGAGTTACCAGTTTGATTTACAGAGTCTTTTTAGAGTCTGTGTATGTTGCTGACAAAAAAAACAAAAAACAAAAAAGATGCATCTGCGATTTAAATTTAGCCGATCCGCGTACGTCCACTTTAAAATCGACTCAATCCGCACCTGCATGTTAAATTTTATTTTAAATCCACCGTTAGTTTTCTTTTCTCTTATACATTTTTGGGTTGGCTGCATATTCCCCCCCTTAAACACATAAAGCCTACTTATTCCCCCCTAAACTACTAAGCTCTTTCCTAACCCACCCAAACATATATATTCTCTTCATATTTCCCCCTAAACTTTTTAAACCCCCCTTTTTAATTGAATTCTCTAATCGTGATTAATAAATTAAAAATTACGTTTAGAAAATAGCGATTACCCAATTAAATTAACCCACCCGACATTTTAAAAAAATCAACCCATTATTAATCCCAAATTAATTGGGTCCCGTTTGTTATAGTGGACAACTCTCAACCATCGCAGTCTAGTTTTATCCTTGTTAACATGGATGGTGCAAGGCAACCTCTTCCACTTACCATTGTTTATAATCGTTTGCAGCCTATTAATTCCTCTCCCTATGCGTTTCTTCAAGCCTTATTCTTCCCTGAGTATCCCGTGAGTATATATTTTGAGGATCTGATGTTTACTTGTTCTTCTCCATTTCCTTTTTTTTTTTAACTTTTGTGATCATTTCGTCTTCCAAGGTTGGTCTGCTTGATGTAGAAAAGATATTACCACCTGGGAGAGACTTAACAGCTGTTAGCATCTGTAGTTTTAACAATGGAGTTCCTGAAATCAAATCCTGCCAAGATCTTCCTTACTTCTTGTGAGATTTAACAATACCTAGTCCAGTGTTGTAATTGGCTCTCTTGCAGTTTCATGTATAAATATTTTTGAATAATATTTGCAGATCAGAGATGACTAAGGACAAGATAATTATGGACCTTACGGAGACTACCAGTGTCATATTCTGGGGCAGTGTAATCATGGGATGTTTGTCTGTTGGCATCCTTGGCTTTGCTGCTGTCAAGTACTTTGCTAGTGAGAAACATACAGTTTTGGATTTAGATAGTGTTTTGTTTCTAACGCTGTTCTTTCTTCAGGGTCTGGAATAGATGGAAACTGCGGCACCATGAAAGAGAACAGCAACAGAGACCAGAGAAACACGTGGTTGCTGATGAGACAGAAGATGAAGATGATATTCCGGATGGAGCTCTGTGTGTGGTATGTGTGACAGTGTGACACGAAGGAGAGTTCCTACTTTCATTCCCTGTGGACATGTAGTATGTTTCAGACAGTGCGCCTTGACCGTGGAACGTGAGGTTAACCCTAAGTGTCCTGTTTGTCTCCAGAGCATTAGAGGATCTATGCTCGTATACTATGAATGTTAAATTTTGTCTCACTTGTGTATTTGATAAGGTAATGCTCTCTCTCTCTGGCTTCGTTTCTGTCCCTCTCTCTCTTTGTTTCTGTGTCGTAAAAAAATAAAAGAAACCCTAAGCGCCAATTAATTTGGGATTAATAATGGGTAGATTTTTTTTTTCAAATGTCGGGTGGGTTTATTTTAATTGGGCAATCGCTATTTCTAAACGCAATTTTTGATTCATTAATCACGATTAGAAAATCTAATTAGAGAGGTGGGTTTAAAAAGTTTGGGGGAACATATGAAGAGAAAATATATGTTTAGGTGGGTTAAGAAAGAACTTAGTAGTTTGGGGGGGGGGGGAATAAGTAGGGTTTATGTGTTTAGAGGGGGAAATAAGCAGTCAACCCTACATTTTTTTGAATATATTTATTTAAATAATGTGAAAGTGAATTTTCAATATAAAGTTTTTATTTTAAGTTGGGTTTATAGCCTAACACGTTAGTTTAGAACAAATACATATTTATTTTAACATATTATCAAACAAACAATCTCATCCAAACTGCCTATGGTTTTTGAACCAAATATTTCATTTAACTAATATAAATCATTTTCTTAAAAAATAAGTTCACTAATATATATCATGTTTAAAATATTTATTATATACAATCTTTATATTATTATTTGAGAAGCCAATTTCATATGCGTCACTCTCACAAAAATCAAAAGTGGTTAATTACGTACATAACATTTGTAAACTAAAAATATTACTAATATTCTCTTTAGATTAAAGGAGAAGCATTTTTAATAATGCGTTCACACTACATTTTTTTAATATGCTGACATGTCATCTTTACTATCGTTTAACAATTAATGCGTTCACACTCTATATTTTTTAATTACACTGCTGACAATTTAATGTGTTCGCATTCTATTTTGTTCAATCAGCTCATTTTTAGTTCACTTATTTTTTACATTTGCAATAGTGAACTGAAATTAATTAAATTCTATTTGTCAAACTATTGAATAATATCATTTAAAATAAATAAATAAAAAATCATCAAGTTTCACATCAACTAAAATGTTGGAATGAGAATGTTCTTAAAAAATGAAAATTTCATATATTGGCGAACTTAGCTATGGTTGAGGTTTATGTTCACGAAAGCAACAAATAATTGTGATTGGTTATGAATTAAGAAAACTAAAGTAAAAAACACTACACATGAATTCGGATCTTTAGTTTAGCCAAGTATTGATTTTCTTTGCGAAATTTTCATATCATACCAAGAATTAGAAACATAACCAGATTACTAGAAAAATAAGAAAATTAGAAAGGTTTTAAAAGGAAATAATATTCGTAATATCGATTGAAAACATAATTCAGGTGCCGAGTGAAGGGATCACATTATTTTACACTTAACTCTAGCCCATTTCACTCGATTGTATAGTGTTTTTTATTATAGTTTGTAAGAATTATTTATAATAAAATATATGATATTGATCGCAAAGTAAGATTTTCTGAACTATTCATTCAAAATATTATATTGTAGCTTCTATGATTATATCTTTTTAAAAATTGGAACATTATGATTTCGAGTTTGAAATATTTATTTTCAATATTGTATATTTGATCAAGAGAAATTGACAAAAATAATAAACTATTTCTATATTTGCAAATTATAAGAATTTTGATATTTTTGTTACTAAATAAATGAATTACGTATGAAATATATTTGTAATTTTGTGTAAGATGTTTTTATTTTTTTCTGTCAGTACAGCTGTTATAATTAAAATAACTTAAAGTTTAAATTTAAAATTTTATTTGTCATTAATATCTTTAATTAATTATTAAATTTAAAAACGTCCAATAGCCTATTTTGTAAATAATACATGAATAGAATGTAATTTTATTAATACATATATTATGTTACGTTTAATTTTATAGAGTATTATTAAACGTAAGAGAGAACCAGTCCAATTTTGCAACATGTCCAACAATATTGACACGACGTCCAATCATTTTTATTATTCTTAAAATATAGTTTAATGATTATGAATGTTAAATAAGCCAAGATATTTATTTTACATTTTTTATATTAGTAGAAAAAGGTAAGTATGGGTAAATATATGGATCCGATGAACCGAACTAGATCTAAAAAGTATTATCAAACACAAAAAAAAAACTAATTAAGTAATGAGATGGATCTAAAATTTTAATATCTAGATAACCTGACTCGAATCTAACACAAACTAAGCTAATTTGGATATCAAATTATCTAATTCATAATTATATACTTAAATATATTTATTATATTAAATTTTATATCTATTAGATATTCAGAAATATGAAAATATCTAAAAATTACAACATAATCACAAGTAAATGTCTAGAAATAACAATAAATGTTCAAAATACTAATAATATTTATTTTTTCTTATCCAAATATTTAAATTGAACTAAATTTTCTGAAAAATGAAATATTTAGTCCTATATTATTCAATTTTTATGTTTTATATTATTTTATTTTTGGATTTTAAAGACTTAAGTATGTTTGGATTTTTATTGAAAATATGTAATTAAGATAAACATCCGGACTCGAATCTAAATTGAACTCAAAATGATTCTAACCAAATGTAAACTAAAATTTGTAAATATTCGAAGAAGATTTAAATTTCTAACTATAAAAATCTTGAATCTGAATAAACTAACTGAATCTGAATAGATATATGAATATCCAGACCTAAAAAGTTATACGATAAATCTCTAAATACAATGCTACAATATATAATCTATAAACTATTTCATCCTGCGCACAGCGGGTTACTACCTAGTATGTCATTGTTTGTTATGTGTTTTGTTATGTTTCCTTTTTTCATTAATTAAAATTTTAACTTTAATTTCTTTTTAATACTTTATCACAAACCATATGAATATAAAAATGAAAAAAATCTTTAAACTTTTATAAATAGACTATATATATTATGTAATTCAAGAAGCAATTTCACAAAAAGATATACATAATAAAGGAGAAAATTTCACCATAAATAATATATATATATGTGTATATATATATATATATTATTTTTTAAGAGGTTCCCTTTGAAAAAAGATATATCTAAAATAACATCATCTTCTTATATTTTATTTTCAAACAAAAAAATTTCAAAACGACTTCTAATCCATATGAATCAAAGAAAAATATTAACTAATTGTTATTATGCTTCAATCAGTTTATAAGTATTCATATTAATGCATGATACTTTAAGAATATTAATTATGTTGTAAGCTAATGCCATGAAATTAGGAGTTTTCAAGGCTCCTAAAGTAAATGTTGTAATATAGGAGATTGTCGAACCAATTCTAAGGATTTTAAAGCAGTGAGAATGCAAGTACTCACTTAATATAAGCGCAATCGAATAAATGGTTGTTCTGAACTAAAACTAATAATATTAAAAAGCAATAACTGAAATAACTTCTTTGATTATGATAAAGGAGAACCCATGGGAGTAGTGATTAGATCTTGGATGATCACACTTCGAACTAAGGATGACAAATGATCAACTTAACTATCAACCTTAAGCCTAGACACATTTTTAAGCAAGCTCTATTTCTAGATGGATGCTCATTTACTAACTCAACTCAATCATCAAATGTCTTTGGTTGAATGTTGAAACAGTAATCTTTAAGAACTAGTCAATGGATATCTTAACACCCTTAACAACAAATGTCTTTGGTATTAAGAGCTTAGGAGAGTTGACTCAGGTATTTCATCGAACACCTTGGGAGGTGTGAAATACCTAAAGATCAACCTTTGAGAGGCCAACTCAAAAGATGCATTAAGGATACTCTATTAGCAAGGAACAAGATAAATCTACACTAAACATCCTTGTTCTAATCTAATCACCCTTAATCTCCCTATCACATGAATTCAATAGTGGATTACTCACTAATCGACATGATTCCTCTTAAACCCATTCTAGATTCAAGCTTAATCATATAAAACTAGTGGAATCAACAATGAAAAAAAACAAGAACAATAAGAATGATTCAAAAGATGAACTTTCCAAGAGTTTTTGTATGTTTTCTCTTCCAAAATCAAGATAGATCTGCCATGGAGGCTTACAGAGTACTTAACTTAGGTTTTTCAAATGTCAAAACATAAAACAAATGACCAAAAGGTCCCAAAATAAAACAAGTTTTTCGTACACAAACGACACACAGCGACCTGGCCGCGTCGCTCCCATAGGTCGCTCCAGGGCTGGAGCGACTTGGCCAGGTCGCTCCCGGACCTCGCTCCCAAGCTTCCTACTGCGTGAAAACGCGAACGGTTCCTATGTGTCGCTCCACACGTCGCTCTCAGTGCTGGAGCAACCTTCCTGTTGAGTGACTGAGGCTACTTGATGAATCACTTGAGGCAGCTCCTCATTTTGATCCTTACTAGTAAACCCTTTGTGTGAATCCATTATCATCCCAGAGGCAATGCTCTCTTCATTCTGAACCACTGCGGACTCTCTTTCTATCACCAAGGCATGTTGTATAGGGTCATCTAGTGACAACTCTTGAAGAAACTCATCAGCTAGAGCATCCATCTCTTCAATGTAGAAGACTTGGCCTTGCACCGTTGGTTTCTTCATTATCTCCTTGATGTCAAAGTTAAGGATGTTCCCTTTTCCCAAATAAAGATCAATCTTGCCTTCCTTAACATTAAGAATAGCTCCAGCTGTAGCTAAGAATGGCCTTCCAAGGATCAAGGGATCTTGAGCTTCTTCCCCCATCTCAAGCACCACAAAATCTGTAGGGATCTCATAGTTTCTAACTTTAACAGGGAGGTCGTCCAAGATACCTACTGGGTACTTCACTGAACGATCAGCCAACACTAGAGAGAGTCTACACTTCTTGTACTGAGTGAATCCGAGCCTCTTTGCAACAGACAAAGGCATCAAGCTGACACTAGCTCCCAAATCGCAGAGACATCTCTCAAAACCCATAGGTCCAATAGCACAAGGTAATGTGAAGCATCCTGGATC